TTGCAGAAATTGCTATAACCTCGCAATCAACTGTCTCTCGAGTGCTTAGGGCACATAATGACGCCACTCCTGCTCCAAGGAAGGAAACAAGGGGACGAAAGAAAAAGATTGATGATAGAACTGGCAGAGTAATCAAGAGAGAAGTTGTGAAGAATAGGACTATAACTAGTCAAGAAATTGCAGCCAGTCTAAGCGAAAAGCAAAGTGCTAGTCTTGCCTGTTCAACAGTCCGACAGAACAAGGTTACAAATCTTGTTAGAACAAGGCTACAAACCTTGTACAGGAAGGTTTAAGCCGCTAATAAGCAAAGCCATCAAAGCCAAGAGACTTGAATGGGCTCACTATTACAGAGATTTCACTGTAGAATAGTGGAAGAATGTTCTCTTCTCCGATGAAACGAAAGTTGAGCTAAATTCAAAGGATAAGGAGAGTCACTTTTATCGAACAGCACTGTAGATTAGCGTATATGCAGTGTATCAATATGGCGTCTGCTTACAGTTGATGCAGCAGACATTTTGGAACCTGTGGATGTATCGATCTACATGGGACCATTTACATTAATCTAGCTGTATTATCTCAGTTTACCGATGAAGGGCGCTCCTAAATTAATGTTTCCTGTTTATTTCTAAAAAAGAAAAAAAAAAAAATGAACACAGACACACACACACAGACGCAACAATTAGAATAAGCACATTAACCCCGATGTATGCATAGAGAAAATTTTTCAACACATTTTCACGGCACTGAGGAAGTTGTCAGGTAAATGCTGTCTGCATTGTGCATTTTTAATTGGCCCGAACGGGTCTTGTCGGACGCATCGCTATTTTTACCGCTGAAGCGCATTTCCCACCACCTGACTGAACTCAGTTCACCAAGCGTCAATAGGTGCAATTTATTGCGTCTGGAGGAATTAAATAACATTTTCTTCTTTCGTACGCACTTTGCTGTCACTCCATTTTACCAGACAGGCATTTCAGCTGGTCTGTGTTATAAGGAAAACAAATAAATGGGTTATTTGCAGGAACTTTTAACCTCTACTGCCATACAAGAATCATATATATATATATATATGTATATATATATATATATATATATATATATATATATATATAATATCATATATATTATATATATATAATATCATATATATATATAATATCATATATATATATATATATATATATAGATAGATAGATATACATAGATAGATAATATTAGTGGTAGATATACACATACATATGAAAATTTTATAAATATATATACATACATGCATACACATACATATTATGTCACCACAAAATGTATCCTTTCCGGTTACATCTTTAATGTATTAGACATCCGACAACATCCATATTTCTCTCACTTAAACCGTCTTTGACTCCCCTCTCTAAAACTTCTCTCTGTTAAGTTTTAATCCCCCACCTTCTCTCGCCTGTTACCCCTCTCTTTAACACTAACATTCGTCCCACGCTCTCATACTTACACCCTATCTAAATTCTATTTTTTATTTCTGTTTTCTTTTTGAATTTGTAGGTCTGATGAATTCGATCGTATTTACAATTCCAATGGAATAATTTATGACCATTGAATATTAGTGTTTAAGTCATTATATATATATATATATATATATATATATATATAATGTACATCAGAAAATACTGAAATTTTCTTAGCTTGACCTACGCCACCATTTTATGTTTAATTTCGCGCATGCGCGTTGTTTGTTTGTTTTTTTAATTTGTCCACTGCACAGTATTGTAGGGCCAGTTGGGCACCGTTTTTGAGAAAATGACCACCATGACGCAATTCACTTGACCAGAAATTTCGTAACGTCATGTATACTGCTTGGCATTTGCGCCAGAATCGCCAATACGAACATTTCAGAGGGTTTTAAGTGTCAACCTGAGGACAGTCAAGAGGATTCGGAAAGAGTTAGGAGTATGTAATGGTGATCACTTTGGTCATTTCGATAAGACGAGAACACCTGTATTTGTTGGTGAGACCAGCAGATTCAACACGGATACCTACATTAAGTGCTTTCAGGAGTTAGTGCTGAGCCAAGATGTTGTCTGCTGGAAGACACTATGTTTGTTAACATGACTCTGCATCATGTCACACAAGCAGGAGAATCCGGTCATGGCTGTCAGACAACTTCTGCGACCACAACACCCCTTACATCTGGCTACCTAACTCACAAGACTCTAACTCCCTTGATTATTATGTATAGAGCGAGACGAATAAAACTTCTTGTAACACCAAAGATGAAAATAAGGCAAAGAATATGGCAGCATACACCAACAAACAAGACCACCGAGAAAAAGACGTCTGGAAATCGGCGTTCAATCCGTTCAGTTTATCCATTGCATCCTATACACACACACACACACACACACACACACACACACACACACATATATATATATATATATATATATATATATATATATATATATTTGTGTTTCATTTAAGACGACAGATTAAGTTTTTATTTCATTTTTTTTGTATTCGAACAAGTATTTTTTTCCTGAAGTATGTAGAAATTGTTCAAATTTTTTGTAATTCTAAATGGTTTCAGCTATAATCATAGCCATTATCATGAATGATTTTATTCTTATTTTTTAACTGCATGTATGGTTTGTGTGTATGTATCTAGAGTTATAAGGATGTAGAAAATACAAGCATAATGATCTCATCCACACATAAAAAAGGATTAAAAATAATGGAATCCTTCAGTATCTGTCTATATTTCTGAGATGAGATATTATGTACACTATTTATATTATTAGGACTATTGTCCTCATCTTTGTTGCCATATTTATTACAACGTTTCGGCCCTTCAGTATCTGTCTATATTTCTGAGATGAGATATTATGTACACTATTTATATTATTCAGACTATTGTCTTCATCTTTGTTGCCATATTTATTACAACGTTTCGGCCTTTCAGTATCTGTCTATATTTCTGAGATGAGGTGTTATGTACATTATTTACATTATTCGGACTATTGTTCTTATATTTGTCGCCATATTTATTACAACGTTTCGGCCCTTCAGCATCTGTCTATATTTCTGAGATAAGGTATTATGTACACTATTTACATTATTCGGACTATTGTTCTCATCTTTGTTGCCATATTTAGTACAACGTTTCGGTCCTTCATTATCTGTCTATATTTCTGAGATGAGGTATTATGTACACTATTTACATTATTCGGACTATTGTCCTCATCTTTGTTGCCATATTTATTAAAACGTTTTCGGCCTTTCGGTACCTGTCTATATTTCTGAGATGAGGTATTATGTACACTATTTACATTATTCAGACTATTGTTCTCATCTTTGTCGCCATATTTATTGAACGTTTCATTCAGTATCTGTCTATATCTGAGATGAGGTATTATGTACACTATTTACATTATTCGGACTATTGTCCTCATCTTTGTTGCCATATTTATTAAAACGTTTTCGGCCTTTCGGTACCTGTCTATATTTCTGAGATGAGGTATTATGTACACTATTTACATTATTCAGACTATTGTTCTCATCTTTGTCGCCATATTTATTGGAACGTTTCAGCCCTTCAGTATCTGTCTATATTTCTAACATGAGGTATTATGTACACTATTTACATTATTCGGACTATTGTCCTCATCTTTGTTGCCATAATTATTCCAACGTTTCGGCCTTTCAATACCTGTCTATATTTCTGAGATGAGGTATTATGTACACTATTTACAATATTCGGATTATTGTCCCCATCTTTGTCGCCATATTTATTACAACGTTTCGGCCGTTGTACGCTCCGGCCTTCTTCAGGTGGTTGGAATGTCGAACCATTTATTTCGCTCACTGGGATAGACTGTTCTAGTTCCACGTGCCATGTTAATGGATGTCAGTTGTCAGATATCTCCTGTTAATTCCCCGAAAAAGATGATGACAATAGTCCGAATAATGTAAGTAATGGAAGCCTTAATGATAAAAAAATGGAAAATCATCACTCAATCATTTTTACTATGAACATGGCCACAATGTGCTGAGTGAGATCGGAAAATAAAACATCCGTTTGACACTGTCCGACCCCCTAATTCTAATAGTTCGGTACAACGGACTTACTTTATGTCGTTTTTTGTTGTAACACATCTGTAGTACATACGATTAGAGTGGAGTCTATATTTCTTCTCCCCGCAGATATGGGTTAAATAGCAGGGTGATGAATAGCCGTGACTAGCCACCTGACTATAGGAATGACTGCTCTAAATTTATAACTGCGGAAAAAACAACGTGAAACCACTTCACTAACATTTCCTAGGAAATCATGGAAAATCACAGATAATAATGAAATGTAAAACTGCAGAGAACCAGAATTGCCTACGCCCTGAAGAGACATGGCATAAAAAGATACGTTACTAGAAACGTCACATTTGCGTAGAACTCTTCTGATGATGTAAGAGAAATACAATTTTATGTAATATTAAAATTGATAAATAAAACTTGCTGGCCGCTCGTGTCCCCAATATGTTGTGTGCTGGGATGGCTAGACAATCCTTATTGCAGGTGTCTGCTCAGACATATCTGTATGTACGCGTGTGTATTTGTGTGTGCGTGTGTCTGTCTATGAAAGAGAGAGAGAGAGGGGGAGAGAGAGGGAGAGGGGAGAGAGAAAGAAAAAAGAGCATAACCTGGTGTGATGAAGAGTTTGAACAAAGCCAGTACATTCAAACCCTCGGGCACGATGGCTTGTGAACTGATGCTCGCACAGACATCGATGGCTCTCGAATAGGTTCGTCTATCAAATTTCACTCATTAACGAGGCGTGACTCAATCGTTATGATGTTTTTAGGTACATTCGAACAGTGCCTCACGCTGGGATAGTCTTTCCAGGCAGATATTATCGAGAAATCAGATCCCTGACAAATCGGCAATTATGAGATTCGAACCCCCGTCTGACGTTCTAATCACTCCGTCAAATAAAACTCCCTCTTTATTTAATAATACAATGAATGCGATCTATCTATCTATCTATCTATCTATCTATCTATCTATCTATCTATCTATCTATCTATCTATCTCAGCCTTTTTCATATCTATCTATCTATCTATCTATCTATCTATCTATCTATCTATCTATCTGTTTCAGTATCTTAATGCTGTGTATCCGTCAGTTTGGAAACACTGTCACATTCAGAAACATTCCAATAAACAGGCAAATGTACAATGCCCCTCCCTTCAATGTCAATTTTTACTTTCACCCTATAAAATATAAGCTTATCAATGTTGACACTTCTCGACATCTTAATGGAAACGCGATCAATTTGTCGTCTGGACGCCATTTTCTTCCATTGTTTCCGGTTGTCCACCATTTGCTGGCGCTTCCCGAAAAACGTCAGCGTCTCCTTCTGAGTGTTTCGCGCCTCAATTGTACTTCTACGACCTTTGTTACTCACGAGCGACTTACTCAGCTTTGTGGCCTTCGAGGCTTGCTTCTGCTTTATTCAATGATGTCGTCTTTGCATTGAAATTGGCGCTAATACTGAGACTTCTTAGCGTTGACAAGATAATTGATTTGAAACAACCAAACAATAAGGGTTTTCCTTATGAAACAGGTCCACACACACACGCAGGCGCGCTCGCGCGCACGCACGCACGCACACACACACACACACACACACACACACACACACACACACACACATATATATATATATATATATATATATAAGAGAGATAGACAGTGAGAGAGATGAATATTTAATTTGTCTTTCGCAAGACAAAATGCAGTGATATATATATATATATATATATATATATATATATATATATATATATATATATATAATGGCCTAACGATTGCATCGAGCATGAAACAGACTGTCGCCTCTAAGTGTTGACTTCAATGTTTCAATTTTATATTTACACACGCTCTATCTCTGATATTGGGCACTTTATCCCATAAATATAGCGCACCTTCAGACACACACACACACACACACATATATATATATATATATATATATATATATATATATATATATATATATATAGAGACACAGAGAGAGAGAGAGAGAGAGAGAGAGAGTGTGTGGAAGGAATATTTACTAAGCTTAAATAGTCACTTATAAAAAAAAAGATTTTACCATGTGTCTCGTGTATCATGTGAGTTCATCGTGTGAGGGATCAAATTATAATGGAATAACCTCTTTTCCTCTATCTCTTTATCCCATCTTTTAGTTAAATAGATTTAAAAAGTAAAAGAGAATGTTAAAAGTATCGTTAATAACGCTATACTCATTGCGTAAACGCGTACAGCCATAAACAACCGAATGAGAAACAGCTAAACATCTTATAAACGGAAACAAAGTTTGTATTTTATAATACGATACTAATATGTAAATATTTCATCCATTATTATTGGATACAGTTAAGTAAGACATCAGTTTTATGAAAATCATGTTCATTTTGAATAGAGCTGTACTTTTAGACGACATTAAACGGATATATAGTTTAGTCAACGGCGTAGCACATACGCTAATTTTGTCTCGTTTATGAGGCGAACACGTCAAAGTTAGCTTCAAAATTAGGCCTCGAAAAGTCGTGTGATAGGAAAGTATATATATATATATATATATATATATATATATATATATATATATATATATATAGGGTGTCCATAAAGTTCGTGTGCACTTTAAAAAATTTATAACTTTATTTGTATTTGCGATAGAAATAATTGGTAAAAAAGATTAGAAAGAAGTAAATCTATAGTTTTTAAGGTTTTATTGAAATTTTATTTAAGTTTCCACATGTTCTCCATCATTTGCAATACAAAGGGTAATACGATTTTGCAGTTCACGGAAAACATTTGCCAACTGATTTACAGCAATGCCTAAAATCACATTAGTTATTTTAGCTATACTTAAAACTAGGTTCATTAAACTTTATAACATTTTTTTTTGCAGATTATTTCTATCGCAAATACAAATAAACTGCACACGAACTTTATGGACACCTTTGTATATATATATATATATATATATATATATATATATATATATATATATATGCGTGTCACACGACATTTTAAATCCCCTTTTAATTTCTGTATATATATCATTGCTTGAACCGGCTTCTAATGCTCCGGATGTAGCGGCTTGGGGATAGAAGATGTGACTCTTGGGGCCACAGTCCGGTGCTATAAATAAATTCGGATGAGTCACGCGACGGAATCTGTGAAGATCTGGCGCTATATTGTGTCTGGTTTGTTAACTCTCCGTCGCCATTGGTCCAGTGGGTATGACGCATGCGTCATATCTTAACTTCCGGGCTCGATTCTCGGTAGTGGCTGGGAACTGCTGATGATGAGTCGCCAAAATAGGACGAAGCGGACATCCAGCAGTGCTTTCTGCATTCTGTTAAGGATTCTTCTATACTCGATGAATTAATTATGAATTAAATGAATATATATATATATATATATATATATATATATATATATATATATATATATATATATATGTGTGTGTGTTTAGACGTTTAGAAATCCTTCTTTCATGCAAATTTAATTGAAAATGACAGACAAGGTGCTTTTATTTAGTTTTTATACAATTTAATGCGATCTAATAATTATTTTCTTTTTGGATGATAAATTATATAAAAACTGTCCGAATTTTTTTTTATCCGAGCGCTTTCGGCTATACATTTAGACATTTTCAAGGATTGTATTTTAACTGTTAAAATAAGAAATAGTTTGCTGTATGTATGTTTTATAAAATGTTTTCATTTTTTCAAAACATGGTCAAGATATTTTGTCCATGTTCAAAGTTAATATTATTAAGTGTTGGTTTGTTTGTTTTTATTAATAAGGCTCCAATTATTTTTAGCCTTTTTTTTTGCATGTACATGATGCTATAATATAAGTGTTGTCAACAAGTATGTAACGAATATTGTCCGGTAGGTCCCCATGAATATTTAAATGCGATCTAATTGAGCTATTGTTAAAAAGGTGTAAATTGTGTCAGCTGGTGTTATGCATTATTCTTATAATGCTCTTAATTCTGCATTCATACTGTTTTGAAATGTAGCTTTCAGATTTTCTATTTCTTTCTTGTTTTCAGACGATATATTTATTTTAGCTGAAAACAAGGAAAAATAGAAAAAGCTAAATATATATATATATATATATATATATATATATATATATATATATATATATATAAAACAGACCAATTTAAAATACCATTACAATAAGTTATTTCACCAAAATCCTTTTTAAAGGATTTCGGATCAGCAGGTAACATTTCCAACAATGAAATATTAGCTCTGTTCTTCACATTGAGCCCTCAGGATTTCATCCTCCTTGGATTTACCAATTCAGTTTACCAAGTTCTTCATAACTAAATTTTTTATTTATATATATATATATATATATATATATATATATATATAATAATGTAAATATAAAAGTGAACATTGAAGTCAACACTTTGAGGCGACAGGCTGTTTCATGCTAGACGCAATATATATATATATATATATATATATATATATATATATATTATTTAAAAAATATGATTCCAACTCGCGACATAAGATGTCTCATGTTTCAAAACAAGACCCGAAAACTTCAATATAATTGTATGAATTAAATTGAGTTAAAGTAAGCTCTGTTCCATCTTCAACCGAAATTTTTTTGGAATAATGTATTTCTGAAATTTACGTGTTTTAATAATTGAAATCAAAATTTCCATAGTAACAGCTAGGGCGAATTGTTTAAATTGGGTAGGCGTGTGTTGGGTGTTTATAATAAGTATCAGTATAGAGTTACTTTCATAGATGTCAAGTCAGGGTAAGGTGGGGTTGTCTAAATTTGAAACGGAAAATGGTTTACGTGTCTATGGAGATTTATTTATTTATTTATATTATTTCTTTATGAAAGGGATTTGTGCATATAAAAAAAAAAAAAAAAAACTGCCGTAACATTTGTTTTTTGACGACTTCATAAAGGGTTATCTTTTTTGTAGGGTATTTAAACTATTTATTTGGGCTATGGATTATAAAAGTTATTATATTGTATGCTTGTTTTTAGCTAATTATTCAAACCATGAATTTGATGGTGTCGACAAAAAACTCATGTCTATTGTTTAATAGATTATTATTATTTAGAAACTTAATAATGTGCAGTTTCTCATGGAGGCACAAAGGGCATGGGTCATCCCAAGTTTTACATGTTCTAGTCCTGTTTATATTTTTCCATTTCTTCATATATATATATATATATATATATATATATATATATATATATAAATATAAAAGTGAACATTGAAGTCAACACTTAGAGGCGACAGGCTGTTTGATGCTAGACGCTATATATATATATATATATATATATATATATATATATATATATATATATGTATGTATGTATGAATATAAAAGTGAACATTGAAGTCAACACGATATATATATATATATATATATATATATATATCGTACTACAAGTATTATAATAGTGCTCTGGCGGGCATGTTTTGTTTTTCATTACTGTATAGCTACATTTGCATCCGGATGAAAGATACATATACACACACACACACACACACACACACACACACACACACACACACATATATATATATATATATATATATATATATATATATATACAGTAAAAAACAAAACATGCCCGCCAGAGCACTATTATAATACTTGTAGTACGGAGACATAATACGTCCTGTATACCTACATTTTAAGTCCACTCTATATGTACGTATAATAGATAATTGAATATTAATATGGTAAAAAATCCTGTTACGAGTTTCGTCTTTGAAATCCTTCATCAGGCTAAATAATATTTTTGTTGATGGAATCATATCTATGTTTCTTTTTTGTTAAGCGTTTCACCCCAAGCATGTCGGGAAGCCACTAGCACGCAAGGGGTTACGGAGACTTGGAGCGAGAGCAAATAGGAGTGATAGAGGAAAGTATGAAGAGAAGGATAGGGGATAGATCAAGGCATCTTGAGACGTTACATTTGAATAGTTGGAGATTATAGCTATCAGGGAAACAGGAAAAGGGAAGGGAGTTCCACAGGCGAGAGGTACGAGACATGAAACTATTGGAGTGGAAGAGACGGCAACATTTAACAGTTTCGACAGTGAAAATGTGTGAGCGAGATGCCAGTCTAGTAGAATGCTTAAATTCATGAAGTCTGGGAGCCAACGAAAGCAGCTCCTCGTAGCAGTTACTGTGAAAGTATTTGTAAAAAAGAAAGAGGGAGGCGACGTCACGTCTGTGAGAAAGCGACTGCAGACGAGATGTCAGATCAGGGCCAATTACATTGCATATCCGTCTCTGGATCTTATCAAGAACCTTGAGACAAACACAAGGGGCACCAGACCATATATGGCAGCAATACTCCGTGCAAGGGCGAATGGTTGATTTGTAGATTTGATAAGATTTGTAGGAAGGGGAACGAAATACAACAAACGTGGCTCCTAATTTTATAATTTTAGACGAGATATGGCTGGAATACTTTATTTTTGTTACAGTCTGACTCTCAGAGTTTGTCTATATTTCTGAGATGAGGTATTATGTACAGTATTTACATTAGTCGGACTATTGTCCTCAAGGACACATGGCACAGTGGATAAAGGCGTTGGTTAGATCCAGTGACAGACCCAAAGAAGGTGAGTTCAATTCCTGGTTATGGCAGTGGAGAACTTTCAGAGGGAAAATTAGAGGAGATAACTGATAACTGACATCCATCAAACATGGCACGTGGAATTAGAACAGTCTACCCCAGCGATCGAAATAAAGGGTTCAGTTCGAAATTCCAACCACCTGAAGAAGGCCGGAGCGTACAACGGCCGAAACGTTGTGACAAATATGGCGACAAAGATGAGGACAATAGTCCGACTAATGTAAATACAGTCTGACTCTCGTAAAGAAAAAAAAAACATGGCGGAAGGCATCAGATACTTCCATGAGAGATAAAAGTTAGCTCCCTTATTAATTGATTGTGCATACGAGATCTACGATTGTATATACGAGATTTACGCGAGGACTGCGGTGAACTTTAGATGCAATAGATGTTCTAAGTATGGAGTTTCATTGAGAGCAGAACAGTTTATCGTGCCTGGTGAAAACTCAGACACTGAAGGATTATCTTTACTAGCTTCTATTTGAAGATCGCTTGCAGATAAATATTGGAAAATACAGACAAAAACAGCAAGAAAATAAAGTAAATTCATTCAAATAGAATCAAATATCATCCTTAACCTTTAGAAATTTGCAATCTTTTTCACCGTGAGATATATCCAGAAATGATCCAGACAAAATGTATATCTTTTCTTTCTCAGATTCCAAACAGAATTCGGATATCAATAAACAAAAGAGCAGTAGAAATTATTGGTCACTGACCTTTTGGATTCAGTAACAAATGTGATGCAAACGATAACCTTTTTTTTCTACTTTAATTTATTGAATAAGGTGAGGTTTTTTTGCTGTGCTGATCTTGTGTAGTCTGGAGAAATCAATGCGGAAATCATGTATAACATCATTGGAATGGCTTTCGATCAAGACCTGTTAGTCTATATGTTCAATGGAATCGTCTGCACAATGAAAAGTAAATTATATTTTTTGATTACTTTATTTAAAAGTTTTTCTCCTGTAGTTATTTTCTTTTTTCTTACTATTTAACCCCAAGCAAAGCAAGAGTATGCAAGTTGGGTGATCAAAGTTGAGCGGGATAACTAATTTGGGGGGGGGGTCACATTTGACTGGGATAACATTAAGTTGGAAAGCTGATCACAGTTGAACTGGATAAAATTAAATTGGGAGGGATTACAGTTGAGCTAGGTAATATTAGGTTGGGTGTGTAATCAAAGTTGAGCGAGATAACTAATTTTGAGGGTTGTATTCATATGAGGGTCAAGCAATTCAGTTCCTAGGAACTGACAGCCAGACACCAGCATATTGATTTGATTATAGGGGTGAAAGTTTAATGTAGAACAGAGAATCTAGAGACCTTGAGCAATACGTGACACAAGGCCTGCAAACGACCCTCCGAAGGTTTTGAATTCAGTGTTGGCCTCCATCCAAGGTTTTAGAACCCAGTGTGTCCTATTAATCTATTAGTCTGTTCTATTAACCTTTCCCAAGGGTATTAGCACGTAAGTGAATGGATTGGACTGGAATTCGAATTCGGCTCTCCGATTCCTCAATCCGAGCCACGGTGGGTAGTTAGGAGTAGTTAAGAGGCACGGAATATATATATATATATATATATATATATATATATATATATATAGGAAGAAATATAGTTTTAAGGTGTGCTATATTTATGGGATAAAGAGCTCAATATCAGAGATAGAGCTATGTAAACGTAAATATAAAAGATTGATTGACGATTGCACCTAGCATGAAACAGCCTGTCGCCTCTGAGTGTTGACTTCAATGTTGACATATATATATATATATATATATATATATATATATGAAATAACCACGAGATCCTACGTATGTGCACATACGCATACACACGTACAGGTCTATACATGCGTACAAATTGCACACGCTTACACACACAAACGCATAGAAAAGAAAAATCGACATAACATCAATAAAAAGTGCATAAATTATTATTTTCTAACTTAATATAAAAAAAACAAAAATGAGAAAATTCACAGATATTTGCTGATACCTCCTGACGAGAAGACCAAACGAAACTCAGGAGTCGGAGTGCTGCATATAGCATCAATGAGCTAAGTGACCAATTTTCATATTTGTGCTAATCATATATATATATATATATATATATATATATATATATATATATATATATAAGTTATGAAGAATTTGGTAAAAGCGAATTGGTAAATCAAGGAGGATGAAATCCTGATAACCTGATGATCCGAAATCCTTTAAAAAGGATTTTGGTGAAATAAATTATTATAATGGTACCTTAAAGCGTCTGTTGTTCATTAAATATATATATATATATATATATATATATATATATATATATATATATATATATATATATATATTAATAAAATATATATACCTTCGTTTGTGGTGCAACTTAAGTTTCGTTAGTTATCTACCTTTTCAGACACAACTTATAATTTATTAAATTATAAGTGATACAAGTTATTCCTTGTGCCTGAAGAGTTGGGTAACCAATGAAACTTAAGTCGCAACATAAATGTAGGTATATGTATATTTATTAATATATATTTCTTAGCTCTGTCTAACCACATTGGGCACTGCCATGTGTACACCTTAAGGTCAATTTAGTATATGTTTATTCACTTATCTACGTATGCACGCTAGCGAACATATACAGTTGCTAATATCTAGTTATTTGATTTACCTGCATCTACACACACACACACACCTATATATATATATATATATATTTGTATTTAGGTAGCAATCCTTCTTTCATGCATATTTCATTGAAAACGACAGACAAGGTGCTTTTATTTAGTTTTTTATACAATTTCTCATGCGATCTAATATTTTTTTTTCTTTTCGGATGATAAATTATATAAAAACAGAACATTCGGACAGTTTTTATATAATTTATCATCTGAAAAGAAAAAAATATTAGATCGCATGAGACATTGTATAAAAAACTAAATAAAAGCACCTTGTCTGTCGTATTCAATGAATATATATATATATATATATATATATGTATATAAGGTATCGCACGGTGAGTGCTGGTGCTCGATATATAATAACAGAGCTATTGTTTATGCTACCATATATATATATATATATATATATATATATATATATATATATATGTAATTAAAAAGCAAAAAAGGAAAGAGTAACTCTGAAAAACATTCTTGCAGCTAATTCCAATATAACTATTTCGGTTTAAAATGAGATTTTATAAATATTAAACTTGCTTAAGGGTCGTCAAATTTAAAAAAAAAAGTGAAAATGGCTATTATTGTAAGCAAATTCAAGAACAATATATTTTTTATGATTTGTTTTATGTCTAAAATATTGAAAGGATTATAAATTGTTTCCTGGCAAACGTAAACAAATCTCGGCGTTCCGTCGCCAGTCATCTGTATCACTGGTAATTAGTGCAAACCAAGAAAGGAAGAGAGTAAATAAAACTCCCCGACGCATTCTCTACGTCCAGCTTACAACAAAAATATCTTTTATAGCTATTGATAGTTATGACAATGAAAACCCAGATATGATGCCCATATCATGCCTCACTTAAGAATCTACATGGATTATTTAACCTCAGTATAAATACTGACATGAGAAAACCATGGTCTGTTTCTAGTGATCAATACATTGTATTTCTGTTTCGCGCCATTAGGTGACTGTTTAGTATTGTTTATCAACTACAGCCACACTGTGCTGTAATCTGATTGGTTTACAGAAAAACATCGGCGGCGATGGGCACCGGTGATTGGTTGTAGTGTTGCTAAGCGAGCGTTTCAAGACATGATATAAGGGCTTTGGAGTTGGCGAGGCGTAGCAAGATTTATTGGGCCATAAAAAGATAACAGTAAATATGGTCCTCAAAGTGAATTAGCTCATACGTAAGTGACAAGAATAGGTTGTTGGCCTACCACGTGGCAAAGATAGTGACATATTTCCGACTCGTGTCAAAGGTCGCAATTCGAGCTTCCGTAGAAGCCATGATTTCAAATGCTGGATTTTCTCTGCAGGCACGCAAATTCTCTCTCTCTATCTCGCTCTGAAAGTAGGACTGGAGCAACACAGTCTTTCTACCGCTATTCTCCTTATTCGTCTTTGAGTATCATTGTTGGTTGATTCTAAAAAACGTTCCGTCACAAGTTTTCTCTGGTTAACTAAAGCAATAAAAATGCCATGGTAATACAAAAAGAAAAATGAAGAAAAAATAATATTACCGTAAAACGGTTATCAGTCATCCCATGGGGACGCATGGCACAGTGGACAAAGGCGTTGGTTAGATCCAGTGACAAGACACAAAGAGTGTGAGTTCAATACCCGGTTAAGGCAGTGGGGAATTAACAGGAGATAATTAATTTTCACAAGTTTGTATATACGTTTTTTTTTATATATATACAACAGTAGTCCATTTTGAATTTGATCTTGTTCTTGTAATTAAAGGTCGGTGTTCACTGAATGAATATTTAACAACACTATGTATATCTAGAAAAGTGTTGAACCCATTCTAATTCAATTCCTTCAACAGAAAGATTAAATCAAATGAGAACATTGTAACTTATTAAGATTACGAAAAGGCGTTAAATAATTCGCCAGTATTTGCGTATTTGGTATTCAATCCGACATATTAGTACATTACTAAGTTTTACAAGAACGCACAACAAATACGATATAACAATGATAACTACATACCATTATTAGCCACCATTGAATTTTATTCAATAACTCAAAAAAGGTTAAGAGAAGTCAACGCAGTCTTAAAAGTATTTCATCTAAGCATTTACTTATCGAATGAAAAAGGTAAGAACAGATATTAATAATTTCTCCGTAATTTAAATGAAGCTGAATTGATGAGAACTGTATGGTTTTTCAAAGCCTTTCAAGAGTCTTGAAAGCAATGGCGTCATTGCTGATTCCATTAGTGATTCGACTTTCTGGGAAAATGTGTGACGCATACGGCCGACTTTTGTGAAACTGTTTTGGGAAATTATCTAGAGAAGAGGCGGGCAAAGCATTTCACAATGTCACAGCGACAAGAAAGAGAACTTTTTATTATGAAGCCAAATAAGGAATCAAACGTCCATCGCTTATTTCCAATTATGTCGTAACATTATCAGATTCCAATTCAATCATCAAATTAATGACCACCGTTTACGATAAAATCTATGAGATATATTTAAATTCATAATAACTCTTATTTTGAGCATTCCTCACATCTGTCAAGGTAGGGGAATAATTAACCTGACCCTATCGCAAACATACACACACAAACACACACACGTAAACACACACGCAAACACACATGTATACGCATTATACCAGAATTGAATCGAATTTAATTTCAATCAGAAACCCTTTTTTGAGGAGGAGTTGATCTGTGGTGACACGAATATATTTCGGATTCTCCCTAAAAAGAAAAAAAAATGAGCTTTGTACTTGGTGTCACATTTAGATATCAAAAGTCTAATGGATGAAAGCATTTGTTTGCGAATTTGGCGATATAGTAATTATGACTTCAATCCCTGGGCCAGGCAGTGGAAACGTGGCGAGCAATAACTGAGCAGTAATTAATAAAAACAAGACGATATATCCTGAGACAGGGGCAGCGAAACGAGAATGATTTACTCTTGTAGATTATATCAAGCGTTCTCTTTGAAATTCCCCGAAGGCTACCTATATCGACAGATATCTGAGGAAGGTCGGCGTGTATTACAATCGAAACGTGACAAAAGCAACAGAGACGTGGAAATTATTCCGAATGTAAATAATTGAAATAACTTCTCATCCCATGTTTTCAGACCGAAATTGATGTCTCATATTTTCACAGCACAAGGTGACGTTTACATAACCTCAGAAAATTAAACCTGACGTTTACATGGGCAAGAATACATCTGTAAGCCACGGTCCTTGAGAGATGGATGGCGAGAACTGGGACGCCATCAGAGACGAGGAAACAAGCAACTGTCAAGTCCAGTGTGACACGAAGTTAAACGAAGCATTAAAAGGAAAGTGATACCTTCAACCGATCCTGTACTCAGAGTATTAGTTGGTTTTCACAATATCTTGACATTTCGATATCAGATCGCCAGAAGTGTGGCGAATGAAAAGGGTCAATAAAAGAGCTGTCGTCATTATTACATTAACGTGCGTCTTTTCTATGATTGTCGGTTGTAAGCGCCTCATTATCAAAATATCACCATTGGTAAACAACTCATCGCAAATAAAGGGTGCGATGGCTAAATTACCGCCATTTTATGTTTTAATTTCGAGCATGCGCGTTGTTTTTGATTTTGTCGACTCCACAGTGTAGTAGGGTCAGTTGGGCACCGTCTGTAAGAAAAAGAGCACCATGACGCAATTCATTCGGCTAGAAGTTTGGAAACACCATGTTGTACTTCTTGTCATTCGTGCCGGAAGCTCCAATACGAATATTTTAGAGTGTCAGTCTAACTGAGGACAGTGAAGAGGAATCGGAAAGAGTTGGATGAGTCTTGTGAGACTTGAGGAGATAGTGCTGCCCTGGGTCAAGACGGTGGCTGCTGGAACCCATAGTCTGGCAACAGGACTTAGCATCAAGCCACACAAGCAGGAGAACCCAGTCATAGCCACAATTTCTGTGACCACATCACCCCTTGCATCTGACCACCTGACTTTCCAGACTGCAACCCACTTGATTATTATGTGTGGGGCGCAGTTGAGCGAGAGACACAAAAAAAACTCCTTGTAATACCAGAGATGAACTGAACGCAAGTATTATGACAGCATTCACCAGGAAGACCGTCCAGAAGAGTCGCAGGAGATTGCGAAGTGGTCTGGAGGCCGTGGTCGAAAGCCATGGGGATTTTGAATAAATTTCCTCTTTAGTATTTCAAGATATTTTTGTGTAATTTTGGCGTATACATCTGTTAAAATGAGATGTCAGTATTATTTTCATTTTTACGTAATTTAGACGAAAATTTATCCATCGCATCCTTAATGTACTACACCACCCGCACATCCAAGCTTACAGCACCTGGTTTTCCCAAGCGTTCACTAATCTTGATTTTGACCAGGCTCGACGTTGCTTTATTTCGGTGATCGTACAGGAACCAATGTTTCAACGCGATAGGGTGTAAGCCAAAATAAAATCTCCATATTTATCATGATAAAGTTAATTTATTTTTATCATTTCACCCCAAGCAAGGCGGGAATGCCACTAATACGCAGGAGTATACAAAGAGTACAAGCGACTATTTTTCCAGCATCTATAGCGATGGACCGTATATACGAGTTTTCACATGTGATGTGGTATGAACTTAAGTCATAATAGACATCCTCACTGGAGAAAAACCGAGCGTGTGAGCAACGATGAGGTTTTGGAGAGGATGCAAACCAGGAGGAAGCTTATACTTAACATCAGGAAGAGGCAGATGAAATTTCTGGGACACATAATGAGAAAAGAAGAGACTCGAGGCAATGGAGGTATGGTTCTACAGAAGGATGCTAAGGATATCATGGACCGAGCGTGTGAGCAACGATGAGATCTTGGAGAGGATGCAAACAAGGAGGAAGCTTATACTTATCATCAGGAAGAGGCAGATAAAATTTCTGGGACACATAATGAGAAAAGAAGAGACTCGAGGCAATGGAGGTATGGTTCTACAGAAGGATTCTAAGGATATATTGGACCGAGCGTTTGAGCAACGATGAGGTTTTGGAAGAGGATGCAAACAAGGAGGAAGCTTATACTTAACATCAGGAAGAGGCAGATGAAATTTCTGGGACACATAATGAGAAAAGAGAGACTCGAGGCAATGGAGGTATGGTTCTACAGAAGGATGCGAAGGATATCATGGACCGAGCGTGTGAGCAACGATGAGTTTTTTGAGAGGATGCAAACAAGGTGGAAGCTTCTACTTAACATCAGGAAGAGGCAGATAAAATTTCTGGGACACATAATGAGAAAAGAAGAGACTCGAGGCAATGGAGGTATGGTTCTACAGAAGGATGCTAAGGATATATTGGACCGAGCGTGTGAGCAACGATGAGGTTTTGGAGAGGATGCAAACAAGGAAGGAAGCTTACTTAACATCAGGAAGAGGCAGATAAAATTTCTGGGACACATAATGAGAAAAGAAGAGACTCCGAGGCAATGGAGGTATGGTTCTACAGAAGGATGCTAAGGATATATTGGACCGAGCGTGTGAGCAACGATGAGGTTTTGGAGAGGATGCAAACAAGGAGGAAGCTTATACTTAACATCAGGAAGAGGCAGATAAAATTTCTGGGACATAATGAAAAAGAAGAGACTCGAGGCAATGGAGGTATGGTTCTACAGAAGGATGCTAAGGATATATTGGACTGATGTGAGCAACGATGAGGTTTTGGAGATGCAAACAAGGAGGAAGCTTATACTTAACATCAGAAAGATGCAGATAAAATTTCTGGGACACATAATGATTCGGAATGGAGGTATGTGGTTCTACGAGGATGCTAAGGATATATTGGACCGAGCGTGTGAGCAACGATGAGGTTTTTTGAGGATGCAAACAAGGAGGAAGCTTATACTTAACATCAGGAAGAGGCAGATAAAATTTCTGGGACACATAATGAGAAAAGAAGAGACTCGAGGCAATGGAGGTATGGTTCTACAGAAGGATGCTAAGGATATATGGACCGAGCGTGTGAGCAACGATGAGGTTTTTGGAGAGGATGCAAACAAGGAGGAAGCTTATACTTAACATCAGGAAGAGGCAGATAAAATTTCTGGGACACATAATGAGAAAAGAAGAGACTCGAGGCAATGGAGGTATGGTTCTACAGAAGGATGCTAAGGATATCATTGGACCGAGCGTGTGATGGTTCAACGATGAGGATCTTGGACCGAGGATGCAAACAAGGAGGAAGCTTATACTTAACATCAGGAAGAGGCAGATAAAATTTCTGGGACACATAATGAGAAAAGAAGAGACTCGAGGCAATGGAGGTATGGTTCTACAGAAGGATGCTAAGGATATATTGGACCGAGCGTGTGAGCAACGATGAGGTTTTGGAGAGGATGCAAACAAGGAGGAAGCTTATACTTAACATCAGGAAGAGGCAGATAAAATTTCTGGGACACATAAT